ATCCACCCAAGGGTACTGAGAGAACTGGCAGAGGAGCTGGCCAAGCCCCTATCCATCATTTATCAGCAGTCCTGGCTATCGGGGGAGGTCCCAGCTGACTGGCGACTAGCAAATGTGACGCCCATCTACAAGAAGGGCCGGAGGGCTGACCCGGGGAACTACAGGCCTGTCAGTTTGACCTCAGTGCCAGGGAAGCTCATGGAGCAGATCCTCTTGGGAGTCATCATGCGGCACTTGAAGGGCAAGCAGGCGATCAGGCCCAGTCAGCATGGGTTTATGGAAGGCAGATCCTGCTTGACAAACCTGATCTCCTTCTATGACAAAGTGACGCGCTGGGTGGACGAGGGAAAGGCTGTGGATGTGGTCTACCTTGACTTCAGCAAGGCTTTTGACACCGTCTCCCACAGCATTCTCCTCAAGAAACTGGCTGCTCTTGGCTTGGACTGGCGCACGCTTCGTTGGGTTAGAAACTGGCTGGATAGCCGGGCCCAAAGAGTCGTGGTAAATGGAGCCAAGTCCAGTTGGAGGCCAGTCACTAGTGGTGTCCCCCAGGGCTCGGTGCTGGGGCCATTCCTCTTTAATATCTTCATCAATGATCTGGACGAGGGCATTGAGTGCACCCTCAGTAAGTTTGCAGATGACACCAAGTTAGGTGTGTGTGTCGATCTGCTCGAGGGTAGGAAGGCTCTGCAGGAGGATCTGGATAGGCTGCACCGATGGGCTGAGGTCAACTGCATGAAGTTTGACAAGGCCAAGTGCCGGGTCCTGCACCTGGGGCGCAATAACTCCAAGCAGAGCTACAGGCTGGGAGATGAGTGGTTGGAGAGCTGCCAGGCAGAGAAGGACCTGGGAGTGATGGTGGACAGTCGGCTGAATATGAGCCAGCAGTGTGCTGAGGTGGCCAAGAAGGCCAACGGCATCCTGGCTTGTATCAGAAACAGTGTGGCCAGCAGGGCTAGGGAGGTGATCGTTCCCCTGTACTCGGCTCTGGTGAGGCCGCACCTCGAGTACTGTGTTCAGTTTTGGGCCCCTGGCTACAAGAAGGACATCGAGGTGCTTGAGCGGGTCCAAAGAAGGGCGACAAAGCTGTTGAGGGGCCTGGAGAACAAGTCCTACGAGGAGCGGCTGAAGGAGCTGGGCTTGTTCAGCCTGGAGAAGAGGAGGCTCAGGGGCGACCTTATCGCTCTCTACAGATACCTTAAAGGAGGCTGTAGCGAGGTGGGGGTTGGCCTGTTCTCCCACGTGCCTGGTGACAGGACGAGGGGGAATGGGCTAAAGTTGCGCCAGGGGAGTTTTAGGTTAGACGTTAGGAAGAACTTCTTTACTGAAAGGGTTGTTAGGCACTGGAACAGGCTGCCCAGGGAGGTGGTGGAGTCACCATCCCTGGAAGTCTTTAAAAGACGTTTAGATGTAGAGCTTAGGGATATGGTTTAGTGGGGACTGTTAGTGTTAGGTTAGAGGTTGGACTCGATGATCTTGAGGTCTCTTCCAACCTAGAAATTCTGTGATTCTGTGAACATATTGGTATAATAATCAATTTTAAGAACATTTTGACTGACAGTGTAGCTCTGTCCGTACAGATGGCTCACAAAAATAAATTGGTATGTCCTTGCACATCTATTAAAAATGTTCTCTTCATTCAAATGGAAGGTTGTTGGGAATAAGTCGCAAATTAAATCCAGGCTCTTTTGGTGACTATGCTATCCATCTTGCCCCAGCTATCCACCTCCCACTTTCCAGAGACCAAGGATTTCCCTGGGAGCTGACAACCATAGCATGCCACAGAACTCCTGAAACTTTGAGGTATTTAAGGAATTAATTGCACCACAGCAACATAACACCACAAATGTATGTGAATTATCACAGATAATTTCCTGGTTTAGTATTTTCTGTCCTCACCTTTTCTTTTTTTATGTGTCTTGCTATGCATGTCTGGCTTACAGACTTTTCAGGGAAGAAATACATGTTATGTAATAAACATTACACATGTGAGGCACTGGTCTAATTTGTGTCAAGATTCAAACATTCTTTATCTGTGTGTTGTAGGTTTATCTGCACATTTCAGAGGGTTAGTTTCTCAAGATGGTTAGTAATTGTTTCACTATAATTTGTTTTATTTCATTGTACTGAACTGATTTTGAGTTTGCATTTGAAAGCATATTTTGTCACTGCTAACCACATTATATGAGCTTTTTCTACATACAGATGAACTGAGCAGGTAGTGTCCATTTGACAATCATGTGCTGTTCCACGGAGTTAAATATTTCTTCTTGCGCTACTCCCTCAGTCAATATTTAAAGAGCTATTAATTCAAGCATTCAAATTGAAAGCCAGCTGACATAGCAAACTTGACCCGGGGTTCTGCCAGGTTAGGCAACGTTTGTCCTACATAACAAAGCAGAGCAATATGCATCCTGGAACACACTTGTATAAAACAGTATAGACGAAAGAGAAGCACGTCAGCCTAGCCTGGAGTTGTTTTGCGTGTGCGTAGACAACTAGCCTTGGTGTGGACTTCACTGCAGAGTGCTCATGTCATAGTTCTTCTTTCTCCCAGTAACTCTTAGAGACCACCATAACAACAAAAGGCAGCTGCACCGTGTCCAGTCAAAGAACTGTCTTTCGAATGTCTTAGCTCCTACCAGCTCCAGTGTACAAGTCAGGTGGGGTCTTCCTTGTTTTGCACACTTTACAATGCACAGCATTTGAGATAACTTAGTAAAAAAGAGAGAAGGAAAAAAAGAAAGGATCCAAGGCTTTAAAAAGAACTTGAGAAGATAGCTATACTGTTGAATAAACAAATTTAAGGAAATGTATGTTTAACTTCCTGAATGCATCAAAATATCACTGACTTCAGCTAACAGCTACATTAAAACAATTTTATATATTAGACAAGGCAGCTGTATAAATGTAAGGGTAATATTTTCAGCTTAGAAAAGCTAATGTCTTTACTCATTTTTCATACTCACATGTGCAGAGGAATAAAAGTTTCTCTGTTCCTGTGTTCTCTATTTTCAGTGCATAAATATAGTACACTTCCATGAAGAAAATGTACTTATACATTTGTAGAGAGGAACAAAAAAACCAACATGCCATATTTCAGTCCCTGTCATGAGATTTTTTTTCCAAAACAATAATTCAGGTTTTCTGAACAATGATTTTTTTTTGCTATATTCATAATATAGACCTTTATGTATAACTCACATATTCACATACCCTTATTTAGTAGCTTTTATAATGTTATCACCCTGAAAGGCCCTTGTGGTTTTCATTCATATGATGGTTACATCTCTAAAATAGACTGTTCATTTGAAGGAGTCTAAAAGAAAGCTGCAAGTGATCCCTTACTATATAAAGAGAAGTGAAAGCTCTGGAAGCCACTGTTTTTCCACAATCATTTTTCTTCTTGGTCCCAATGTAAAGGTCAGAGAATTTACAGATTTTGTGATAATGGAGAGTGTCTGAAAATAACATAAGCTTGATGGATGCAAGGGGTAGAAAATGGACAGAGAGCAAAAGCATCAGTAAAATGTGAGTGTGAGCAGGGAGATAGGCCAGCTTTGGTCACCTTTGAGATACTCAGGAGGTGAATATGAAAACTGAGAGCAAGGAAATTACATGCAATTTGTTTCTGTATTGTAAATTCTTAAAGGATCACACTGAATAATTACCTGGTTTGTGAATGGTGTTTTCAGTGACTAATCACCACCACCTGGTTGGTCACTGAGGCCAACAGGTACATACTGGAACTCAGAACAAGGTATGCTTCAAGATTTATCTTTAATGCATCTAAATATCTTTGGCACATATAATATATAAATTGCACATGTTTGCACATTTAAAAAAGCCTTTGAGTGCTGAAGCCAGGATTCTACAGAATAACAGGCTTCACTTCTGGCTTTTGTTTGAGATAATGAGTGCCATTGCAATCTAGTATTCATCTATATGAGAGGTTGCCCATGCTTCTTTTCATTAAACTTTGTTCTCTATGGTTTTGCCAAGCCTTGAATTGAAATTTTAGGGTCTGCACAATTCCTGACTGAAAGGAGTAACTTTTCCAAAGCAGATATCTTGCTGAGTTTGTCTTCCTTTTTGGATAAGTTCCAACTGAAAATGTTGCTGCTGTTCCCAATAATTAGAAGGGTAATATATATATATATATTTTTTTTCCACAAAGAAATTGGAATCAAAATCTTACCATTGTAGACATAACCAAGCTCTGTAGGAGAGATTTAGCAAAGGTCCCCTTCAAGTCAGGGATGCATTTCATGAAGTCTCTTCTAATTTATTCTCCTGAGCTTAGCCATGTGGTGAAGATTAGTTTGTCTGATGATTTTCTGAAAGGAGCTTCAAGCAGTGAGTCCTTATAATGGGCCAGAGCAAGCAGGGGTTGTGTCTACATGCTCTAAATACTCCCTCTGCTGGTGCTGCCTTGGAGGAAGAGGAAGTTTCCTGGCTGGGTTGGTGAGGTATGAGCCCCAGGAAAGAAGAAACACAGGAGTTAGCAGACATGGAGATAACCTGCATGATCATGTTGCTCATAACGGAAGTGAAGGGGGAAACATAGAGGAATGAGCTGAGCCAGGTGCAGATTCTCCATCCAGGCCCTGAAATTCTGCAGATGAGCAGAGGAGCCTCATTAAGGCTGTTAGTATATTTCCTATTAATTGTATTCTGGCAAAGGAGATGGGTTTTGGAGAGCAGTGTGTCCGAAGACTGTCAGCCTTTGGTGGAAAATTCATCATGTGATTAAAAACAATAATCTGAACAAAGAAAGGTTGTTCCAGTGAAGTCTGGATAAGTTCAGTTATAAAATGGCTTGTAATGATATTCTTTGTATGTATGTAACCCCTATAGTGTAAGCTTTTGAAAATTAGTGCATAACTAAACTGCTTACAGAGCACGGTCAGAGACTGCTATGTAAGGTCTTCACCCAAGTGTCTGAAGGTAAGAAAATGACAAGGAGGCAGTGGTGATTGTTATTCAACTTTATTTCAGCCTTTTTTTTTTTTTCCACTGTTCATTTTTTACAGGGAAAAAAGCATTTGATTAAGTAATTGACTGTGTCATATCTCAAATACACAGGGCCTTGAAAGTGTTTGTGTGAACAATAACATTTCAAAACTCTAGTGTACTCTATGTTTTACTGAATGTATTAAAAAATGCTGTTTCCTAAGATGTTTTAAGCTAATATACATTTCCCCTTTTTTTTCTCTTCAATGGTAAACCCCACAGCTGCACATGAAAGGCCAGGCTTGAGGGCAGAGCCACAGCTGGGCCTCACAACTGGTCCAGATTTCCCTGCCCCTGTCCCAGCAGCTCGGTGCACTGGCATCCCGCCAGCAGTGTCTGCAAGTAGGAGTGATTTCACCACAGCCTAGAAACCTCACGTGGGCATTGGTGTCAGCCCAAGCGATCCTCAAAATTTTTCTGCAGTCTTTTGAGAAGTACTATGGCTGTTTCCTAAGGTTCCTGTTGCAGTGGAATTGCTTAGGAAATTAGGGAAAATATTATTAAGAAAAAATAAAAGAAATCGTTATACTTAGATGGGTTTCTGAAATTCAGCTGTATTTCCTCTGGACCCTCCACTGGTGGTGAGAAGGTCTGTGTATCCTCTGCACTGATATCTGGTGAGCAGCACAATGAGCTTCACACACGCTGCAGTGCTCGCTGAACATGTGCATTTGGGAGAACAGGGGTGTGTAAAGATTGAAGTGTGAGTCCTGAACTTCTGGCTTCAAGGAGCGTGGCAAATCAAAAGAAGATAGGAGAGTGAAAATACACAGGACGTGGGCCAGCAATCAATATCTGCCTGAAAAAATAAACCAACTGTTAACTCAGTCAGAATCAAGGTTCTTAACAAAGCTAATACATGTAACTGGTCTTGAAATACGTAAAAGGCTGCTGTGAAAAACAAGAGAACAGTCTGTCTTCCCTGTCCAGGACAGAGAAGCAATGGAATGACTTACCTAGGGAGAGTCTAGTGTCTTCATCACCAGAGGCTTTACAGGACAAGTTGGGCAAACAGCAGTCAGGAATAGTCTGGCTATAGCTGAGACAGCTTTGGGACAGAGAGAAGGGAAGAATAGTGACCTCGTGAGCATGTTTTCATCAGTCTTTTTCCCTGAAGCTATGATACTATCACTGTACACTTAGTCTTGTATGTCCTTCTCTTGTTGCACTCCAAGACATGCCTTGCATTTGTGCAAGGTCTAGGAAAAAGGGACAATTATGCTGAGTAGGACCTTTACGTTTCACTGCAATAATAGGAGAAAGTTTTGGCAGGTGGGTGTCTTCTGAACACCAAAGCCCTCTTTAAAATGCCAGTGAGCCGTTTTAAATCACTTCTGGAGTATGCTGCCTGTATTGCATGAGTCATTCTTAGGTAGAGTAGCCTGGCAGGCTGGCCTGCAGGGAGAGCTTGCAGGGACCAGCCATTGGCATTCCGTTCTTGTCCTTTGGATCTGGTTGTTTGGAGGAAAGCAAATACAGAGTCTGTGCCACCACCATCATACAGAGGTGTATGTGCATGTGCATTTGAAGTTTCTATCTAGTGCCCAGCAAAAATATCAGAGATCATATAAGACTTGTAATCAGTAGTATCTGTCATGCCTACCAAGTTATGCATATGCTTAACCATTTTGCTGGAGGTAGGCATGTATTAAAATCACTTTCCAATATTTTCAATGTGAGAACTTGCATAAGCATCAGATTATTTAATAAAAATTAAGTCTGGAGTAAAGAAGCTTTGGTCATACATACCACAGTAGTACTTATGTTGCAATTCTATTGCAACAGGTGTTCTGTTTTGTTAAGACCTTGGGATCAATAACTAAATTTACAGAAAAGCCAGCTGCTTAGTGGTTAGTGGCTGCTTTAATGTGGCAAGTACAACTTGTTTGGCCAAACCTGATCCTCTGAAACAGTATCTTCCAAAGCATACCAATAACAACTTTCTTCTTCTGCAGTCTCAGACTAAAAGATAAAACAAATCTGCAAACAATATTCTGACATGTTGATCTCATTTAAACATCTCTTGTTCCTGGGGAATGGTAAGTCTCTAGGTCCTGTAGAATCAAATATTTTTTCTATTTGCTCTTCCAGGACGAGTTATGCAGTCTACATATGCATGAAAAATCAGCAATTGTCCAGGATATTCTCCATTCCATTTTTAACTCCTCTATAATTTAAAGCACATGGCATATACGACACATGCACAACTTCTTTTAAAACAGTTATAGACCTTTCTGAGTACAGACCAGTATTGTAATTTGTATCATAGTGCTAGTCCAAAGGCCAGAAAAGATTAATTATAATGGATTTGAAGTTCTTCAGATGTAATTAAGGAATAATTGGGACACTTTTAATATGAAAATGTGCAAATGCATTTGTGTGCATATTAAAAAAAAATAATTATGTTGTGGATTATCTGTAATTTGGTAATTTAAAATGAATGAATATGTTTGTGAAATTACATGGAAATACTAAGAGGAAAATTTGGTAAAATCTTCTGGGAACGGCATTTAGAAAAGAAATTGGATGTAATGCATATCAGAGAAAAAATCCTTGTCATCAGAATCTAAATAAAACTGCAGCTGTGCTTGGTTGCATAGGTAGACTGTTCCCAGCATTTGTCCCAAATGGAACTTGTGCTGAGCTTCCATGTGGCTCCACCACAGAAGTAGAGAGGCAGCAAACCCCATTCCTTGATGACTTTATCCTACTGAGCAGCCTGTTCTCACTTGCCTTGGGTGCCAAGGAGCCCCAGAAGCCTTCCCAGGGAGTCTGTGCTGCATCTGTAAGCCATGCCATGTGCCCAGGGGCACTGAAGGAGAAGAGCCTTGCCCTAGCCTGGGCTGTCCTCAACTCTTGTAATAAGGAACTTGACTGTCAGAGTGCTTGCAGAGCCCATTATAAGCAACAGGATCTATTTATTTATTTATTTATTTTTTGGACTGTGGCGCTGAGGGTGGTCGGAAAACAACTTGAGTAGGATGAAATGAAAAAGTGAACAAAGGGAGGACCTGGCAAAAAATGAATTGGATTTTACAATTCCCTGTAATAAAATCTAATAACTGTCCTTAAAAGCCCTTCAAGGCAAGTCAGTTTTGGACTTCAGTGCAGGGCACAGTTGCAGTGCTACTTGGGTTAGCAATGTGAAGAGACAACTGAAACATGATCCATGCCTACAGCAGCAGGGTTTGGATTCTGGGAGTTTTCTGTTTTTGCCTGACAAATTCCTTCACAGGTGTTCAACAGACCTCTTCCGAGTATTAAGAACAAAGCTGTAGCTGTGTTTTAAGGAAAGAAACAAATAAACAAAACTCCCATAGAGAAGCAAAATCCTGCAAACAACGTAAAGTAGGACGGTAAATGAAGTAAAATGATGGAACGCCTTTACTTCTTCCAGTTTCTGTGACTTTCTACCCTCAAAAATATTGATGCAATCCAGTGCAGTCAAAATCTTGATGTATAACTGAATTTAATGAATGCATGGTTGGGATTTTGTTGTTTAGATTACTAAAAATAATAAAACTTTCTCAAACAAAAAGCAGATTTTATTTTATTTTATTTTATTTTATTTTATTTTATTTTATTTTATTTTATTTATTTTATTTTATTTTATTTTATTTTATTTTATTTTATTTTATTTTATTTTATTTTATTTTATTTTTTCTCCCTAAAGGCAATGTGCTATAAACGTTTCTCTCTATATATTTATATATACATATTTCTGGTTATGATTTATTTATTTAATCTACAGGGAAGACAAACCACCGGTAATTTGAGCCCATTTTCCCAAATGTTAACTTATGAGACACATTCTTACAGGAGCAATTTAAAAATAAAATGTAAATGTGATATTTAAAAAAAAAAAAAAAAGTAAAAAAGACTTAAATTTCCAGCACCAGGTTTAGGTGTATGTGCAAACTGGAGCCTTCTAAGTATGTGCATTCTTGACAGTCAGTATCTAAGTTCAGAGTTATTCTCTTCCATTTCAGTGTTTTATGTCAAACATAAACTAAACCCAGGTATGCTGCCTTGAACTCTTTTCCCTTTTGTCAGGTGAACATGATATTTTCAGGAGCTATAATAAGAGAAAAAGAGTCCTGAACTTGGGACATAAGGCCAAAGCAAAGAGGAACAAATCTGAATGTTAGAAGAGGCAGTTTAAATCCTCTGTGGAGGTCATTCAGTACCAGAAACTCTCCACCTCCTCCAAACATAAGGTAAAACAAAACAAAACAAAACAAAAATAAAATAAACACTATAGATCTTCAGCTTTACTAGTTAATCTTTCCTGTCTTGGCTGTACCCCTCTGGAGTATTTTCCAGGTCACAGAACAGCTCAGCTTTGCACATCCTGCTCAGGCCAGCTATGTCTGAGAACGAAATAGGGAGGCTGCTCTGTTCTGGAGGTACTGAAGGAGCCACAACTTTATTTAACTCAGCTTTCTCCTCTCTACAACTGAAGATCTGCAGTGTATTTTTCCAACATTGAGGTGCTGTCAGCCTCCTTATAATGCAACAGTGAGACCAGCTAACTAGCCTAGAGTCAGGTTATTAAAACATCAAGTCCTTCATAAGAATTGGCTCAGCTGTAAACTGGAGCTGGAATTTATTTTCCCTTGATAACCTTCTTCAGCAGGCACAACTGCTGCTGCTGCTGCTCTATGATGAGGCTGGTCTCCTCACATGCAGCATTCCCTCCTTTACTTCCTTTGCCCTGTCAAGGGGTTGAGTAATATTTAGCCTGAAAGGCTTCTTCTCGTCTTCTTGCGCTGCATTTCCCATGGCCTCTGTAAAACTCTCTGCAGCTTTTTTTTTTTTCTTTTTTCCCCTCACTGAATATGTTCCTATGACATCCTTTTGGAGTGCTAAGTGGAGAAGACTCTTTGCTTAGCCTGTGTGAGGGGTAAGTCATGACCAACTATGGCAGATGTGGTGCAGCTTTTTTAGAGGGGTATTTCTCCTTCCCTCTGGTGACAGAAAGGTGAAATGGCTACTGTAGTGAAGAGCTGAGAGCCTTCTCTGTGGGGTGGCTTGCTCCAGAGGCATGCTCTGGCAGGGGGACTGGTGATGGAGGTGACAAGGTGATCTAAATTCCAACTGCATGGCGACATACCCTTCCTTAGGAATATGATGAGGCAAAAGTAACTTTGCCCAAAGATAAGTGTTTAGCTCTAAGTCAAAAGATAAAATTGAGATGCTGAGAGCTAGGAAAGGGTATGTGAGATGACTCAGTGTGAGAGGGTGTACCCTTTGTGTAGATGACTTGGTCATTGAAATGCTTGTAGACCTAGGGCTAGATTCATCCAGATTTCTGCAGAACAGCATCATGACAGTGACATTACGCTGGTGACATCCACCAGTTCGGAAGTGCTGCTCTTGTGCCTTCAGCAGCATCCCTTCAGCAGTCATGAATGCTCTGCTGTGTCAGAACTGATGTGCTTTTTCCTCCTGACCTCACTCTGGTTCCTCTCTTGTATTATCCTTGTTCTTGTGTGTGCTTCCTTCTGTGTAACATACCTTATGCTTTTTCCTCCTGTTTTAGGAAATGCAGGTCTAAGCAGAAGGCAGCAGCAGGCTTAGCTCATTGCCTAAGAAAAGTTGGTTACAATTAATGCCAGGGAAATGGAGGAAATTTCTGGATATCTCTGTGAACTTTATCCATTTATTTATGAATTTTATGGTTGGTTGGTTGTCAGGAATGGTGAGGCTGTGCACTTAAAAATACTGTAAGGGAATACAGCACCCCATCTTGCCCTTTCTGCTGGTGACACTGCCAGCTCCAGCCAGGGCTTGTGGGCACCAGGAATCCTGGCAGATGAGAGACATCCACAGCCCAGAAATGCTTATGCTGGGGTACAGCTGTGTCATCATGAAATTGGAATGTACAGTATATGCTTTCTGTGAGCATAGCTCTGAGCACAGAAATGTGTATATCATCAACGGCACCTGCCCCTCTATGGAGCGGCTCAGCTGTTGTGATAGCAGATGAGCTAAATTTAAGGTTTGCACATGCTTGATTCTATTTAATACCTACCAAGGGGAGTTTAC